CGTTTTTCTGCTGCCGATCCGCATTTAATATGCCCTAGCTGTACTGCACCATGTGCATTTTCTTCACGCGATCCGACAGCATTTAACAAATATTATCTTTAGCGCCTTGAGACGCTGCGCAGCAGATAGGTCACGTAAACAGAGCCTAGCCATGGCCGATACTTCGGAACCCCTAGCCAGTCAACTGCTGTCGGACGACCCCCTCCCGTCTGGTGTTCCGCTAGAGTTACCCTCGGAGGAGAGGCGTGGGACGCAGTCCGCCATCTCCAAGAAGCGTCCTGCATCCCCAGACATCCCGTCGTCGCAGCCGAAGACTAAGAGGGCTTCCACTTCGTCCACAACGCAGACTCCGCACTTCACCCCAGGGCAGCGTCTACCTCCCAGGGAAACCAGCGAAGTCTACTAGGACTTTCTCAGCCGAGATTGTTCCCCGCCCAGAACTAGGCCTGTATGATGATCAGCCGATCATCATACCCGATGTAATGCGCCACAAGAAACGACCCGGTGTCGGCAAGAGTGACGTCAGCGCAGATCTACACGCAGCCTGATGTACAAACGCTGATGTCTGATGATCTTCCTGAGGGTCCCGCCGCTACTACCAGCGAGAGAGGGCACCAACTACATCTTCGCAGATCGTCCCAGACGACCTGGTTCTACACATTATGAAGATGATGGAAGAACGCTATGGCCTGGAGAGACAACCAGCCCAGAAGCCGAGCCTTCGAAGGCTCCAACGTAGACGTCACCCCAGAGGGACCCCCACAACGGTTGCCGCTATCAAGTCATCGCTGGGGAACCCACCTGCACGAAGGATGTCACAGCCCACCTCTGCGAAGGACCCAGATGTACAGCCTTCGCGAAGGACAGCTAGACACTCACGAAGAGGTTCGCGAAGGAAGATCCTCTCATCCCGGACTCTGACTCGGACCCCAGCCTCCGAAGGCCTTCGCGAAGGTCAAGTCGCCACTCCCCAGGACCGGACTCAGATAAAACTTAGCGAAGGTCTTGGCTAAGGGCACCAATTACAGGCTCCAAGTCATCTTCGCTCTACAAGGTCATCGAGGGATTCCCCAAGAGCTTAGCTGAAGCTATCAACGCTCACCACATAGATCTCCTCCGAAGGTCACCATATCGACGCGCAGCTCATCAGGCCGTTCTCCACGACGATCTCCTCGCCGCATCTCCACGCCGATCACCTCGCTGCTCACCACGCCGATATCCACTCAGGTCATCACACCGTCAAGCCTCACAAGTCTTCACGGAAATCCCCAGACAGGTCTCCGTTGACATCACCCTGCACAGCTGTAGAAGTATACAGGTCTCCACCTCAGTCACCATCGGAAGAGCATCAACCTCTTATTTGCGATCCTGTTACAGAAGATGATGGAGGCATCATATTCTCCTCACGCAGAAATACGCTTACTGGATGGTTAACAACCTGGACCTAGCTTCACCTTCCAAGAACGGTAACCTGGCCCCACACTTATCTCATGAGGGAGGACGATGCAGACACCATCACCATACCTCCGATCGACCCGATAGCAACAGTCTCTCAGAATCTGGACACAGCCTTCAAAAGCCACTAGAAGCCCAGGCGCGCACTTACCACAGTTCAACGCCAAAAAGTTCTCAACCCATAATATGGACCCATTTTTCAAGGCACAAGATATCGACGATAACTTCAAAGTAATCAACGATGCCAAGAATAAGACCTACAAGATAGACGACCGCAAGCTGGTGCAGATCGAAACCATGACAAGGAGAATGTTCTTCGGCCTTAACAGATCAAGAACGATTAATGAAACTCTCATCACCAGATTTCGAGATTCTACATCAGAAGATGACAGAATGATTTACTCGGCCCTCCTTATGCAGAAGAAGGACCAGCAGTTCTTAACGGATCATCTTACATCAGTCTCCGCAGCGCTAACTCTAGCTCGTCAGTCAAGGTCTCAAGGTGAACAGTTTACATCTAAGATCTAATTTTACTGGCTTACAGAAAGCACGGGACAGGAAGATGGCCACCTCAAGAGGAAAAGATTCTTTTCGTCGCCCATACGGCAACTACAGAGGAGGATCTGGAAGAGGCAGGGCACCCAGAGGTTCCCGCAACTATAAACGATGAAAGACGGGTTCGGAACGACTGGAGCCTTCCACCCCCAGCCGTTCCAGTACAACCATCACAAGTGGGTGGACGCCTTCAACTGCACTGGGAGAACTGGGGAATTCTACAAGACCCATATGTCTCCAACATCCTACATCACGGATATCGAATCCAACTACAGGCCACGCCTCCGCTTACAGTCAACCGGCGTCACAAGTTCGACTTTCAGGCTAAATAACTACCAAAGTTACGAAGAAGCTGTTGCATCGCTACTAACCAAGCAGGCCATAGAAGTACTGGATCAAGTAAACATTGAACCAGGCTTTACTCCCCAGTTTTCCTAGTGCCCAAGAAAACTCCAAGGAAAAGTTCAGACTCATCTACAACATGAGCACGCTTCAACAGAGATTATCTACGAAACCGCCAACATTTCGCATGATACATCTACCTCAACTACGGCACCTAGTTCGGTCCCATGGACTACATGGCCAGTATAGATCTGCAGGATGCGTATCTACATATCCCCATACATCCCTAATCCAGGAAATACCTACGGTTTACACTAGACGGGGCTGCATTATCAATGGAGAGTACTCCCATTTGGAATATCATCGGCCCCCTGGTTATTCACAAGAGTAACGAAAACCCATGTCACTTACCTACATCGCCTAGGGCTACGTGCGTGCATTCTACCTCGACGACGGGATTCAAGTAGATCAAGATTCACAGCGTCTCAAACTACAGTTAAACTTTATCATCAAGCTACTAACACAGCTAGGATGGTTAGTAAATCTACTCAAGTCGGACCTAGAACCTACGCAAGATCTGCAATTTCTAGGCATTCGATTTATCACGACACAGAACCGTATCGTCGTACCAGAGGACCGATGGCTCAAGATCCAACAGACCATCCCACAAGCCTTACTCTCTCCGCTACCACTACGACAATGGCAGAGTCTGTTGGGTCTCCTCACGTCAGCCCAAGACATGACAGTCAGAGGCAGACTACAGTTACGTCCGTTACAGGTCCTCATCAACGCTCATCTCGACGACCTACAACCATTCAGTCTACCGAAGCGTCGCTCCAAGGTTGGGGAGCTCATCTCGCCAACCGGACGGCATCAGGGTTATGGAACCAGCAAGAGAGCAAGCTGCACATAAACATGCTAGAAATGAAAGCAGTAATCAACGCCCTACTACATTGGAGCACCATTCTACAGAATGCGCATCTGATGATTCACACCGACAACTCAACAGTGGCGTTTTATGTAAACAAACAAGGCTCAACGAGATGATTGAACCTATTGACTCTATGCTTTCAACTGTTCGATCAAATAGACGATCTCAACATACATGTCAGAGCATGCCACATTCCGGGAGCCAAGAATGTACTAGCAGATGCACTCTCTCGGCCACATCTACCATCACCGACAGAATGGATGCTCCATACAGAAATCTTTGCACAGATTATCAAGGAAATAGGAGCTCCGCTTAGTAGACCCTATTCGCCACTCGCTTCTTCAACAATCAGCTAACAACATTCATATCACCAGTCCCAGATCCACAAGCGTGGGCAACGGACGACTAAGCATATCCTGGGAAGTCCTCAAAGCGTCGCGCTTTTGCCGCCAGCTTAATTCCACAGGTGTTACAGAAAATCAGACAAACACAGAGCCTCCAACTGATTTTGGTCGCCCTACTGGCCAGCTTAGAACGTGGTTTCCCATTCTAATTCAAGAAATCGGACAACCAACACTAGAGCTACCAAAGCTTTCTGAATCTACTAATACATCCTCACACCAAACAAGCATCGGAAACCCAGAAGCATTCCAACTTCACGTATGGACTGTATTAAAGTGTGTCTAAACAAGAGAGGTTATTCAGCCAGAGCTGCAAAAGCAGTCACGCTTGCTTTATCGTGAATTCTACGCCAACTTGTATGACGACAAGTGGCACAGTTTTGAAACATACGCTGCTAAAAAGGGATTTACAGCGAATGCTACACATCCACAAGTGGCTGACTATCTGTGTTACCTACGACAAAATAAACATTTAAAAGGCTCGACATTGTCAACATATATCGCAGCTCTAAGTTCTGTGATAACTATGAGAACTGGTGTCAAGCTTTGGATTTCCCTGTAAATTCAAGTGTTGGGCTCTCGCTATATCAGGAGAGAGTGAAGCATGAGGGAAGAGGTGGCCTCCCTTTCCCCGCATTTGGAAGAGGGAGGCAACTTACATTGAAGGGAGCTTCAATTAGGGAGATACAAGTGTTCCACTATGTTCGCAAGAAGAAGAAGAAGACAAGCAAAAGAGCATGAGTCAGGATAAGTATAAAATATCAATTTTATTCAGAAAATTACATATTTATATACTTATCCTATCTCACGCGACGGATTCCCACCCATCCTCCCCGCTATGCAGATTCTCCAAGATGGATATTATCCAGTGGCTCCAAGAATGAGAATGATGATTCGGAGATAGTCACGTGGGCAGCTAGTGGTGCATGCCGCATGCTTTGCATGAGAGCTGGGAAGCTGTCTTATAATGAGGGTAGCATGGAGTGCTTGGGCGGATGGACAAGAGAGGCCTAGGGAAAAAGTTTACATCGTTCCACTCAGTGTCGAATCAAGAGAGAGAAGCATTGCATACCTTGAGATAATATAAGTATATAAATATACAATTTATATTAAAATTTTCAAGTTTTTGTATCTGTGTTTATAATATCTGGTATGCTTGATGTGAGTAAACACTATGCTGTTTTATGTGTACTTACCTAATGCTTTACAAACCATCAGCAGGATTAGGCTAATTGATATACTCAATCTGTAGCAATGGATGACTGACTTGGTGTACAGGTGATTTATGGATTTAAACTCCAGGGTTAATATTTCAGGTGTAAAAAGTCTGGTTGTGGTGGACTACTGAGGCCACACGTGGTTTGGTTCGGGGAATCACTGAACAGGAATGTCCTGGAACAGTCTGGAGACGAGTTGGACAAGTGTGACCTTTGTCTGGTGGTAAGTCCATATAATCAGTACAGGTGATCAGTTATCTGGTCAGCCCATGTGGTCAGTCCTTGCAATCAGTCCTTGCAATCAGTCCATGTGATCAGCCCATGTGGTCAGTCCATGTGATCAGTCCATGTGATCAGTCCATGTGGTCAGTCCATGTGGTCAGTCAGTGTGGACAGTCCATGAGATCAGTCCATGAGATCAGTCCGTAGTATCAAAGGATCAGCCCATGTGGTCAGTCTGTGTAATCAGCCCATGTGGTAAGTCTGTGAGATCAGCCCATGTGCTCAGTCCATGAGATCAGCCTGTGTGGTCAGTCCATGAGATTAGTCTGTGTGGTCAGTCTGTGAGATCAGTGCGTGTGGTCAGTCCGTGAGGTCAATCTGTAACCAGTCCATGAGATCAGTCTGTGTGGACAGTCCGTAAGATCAATTTGTGTGGTCAGTCTGTGAGATCAGTGCGTATGGTCAACCCATGTGATCAGTCAGTGAAATCAGTCCGTGAGATCAGTCTATGTGTTCATTACATGGGAACGGTGGTATCAGTCCATGAGATCAGCCGAGGTGATCAGTCAGTGAGATCAGTCCATGTGGACAGTAAATGAGATCAGTCTATGGGATCAGCTCATGTGATCAGTCCATGTAGACAGTAAATGAGATCAGTCCATGGGATCAGCTCATGTGATCAGTCCATGTGGACAGTAAATGAGATCAGTCCATGGGATCAGCTCATGTGATCAGTCCATGTGGACAGTAAATGAGATCAGTCCATGGGATCAGCTCATGGGATCAGTCCATAAGATCAGTTCTATAAGCTGCATATCCGGGTAAAATATGCATAGAAAATTTTCAATTACGCATTGAAAAATAATTGTTGCATACCAATTACGCATTTAAAATGTTAGATACGCAAAATGTTTAAAACAAATGTGTACGGAATATATTTATAAAAATCGCTTGCGTAATGAAAAAGCCATCAATTGCTATCAAGTTGTACTGTAAGTATAGGACTATTGTTGTACTGTCAGTATAGGATGAGTGATTTTTTATGAAATCATTTCCATTATATTTAAGTTGGTTTTGATTAGGTATGACATAAGGCAGAACATACCTGTTTAGTAAACTTGCTCAATGACATAATACTTAGGTGAGTAAAATGACTGAAATACGCACATATTTGAAGGCAGTGGGTAACGGAAAATGAAATACCCACTCAACATTCATAATACCCACTCCAAAAAAATACAGTGGGTACAGTACCCACATGAGCTAAATCTTATCTGGAGCTCTGAAGTGGTCCCTTCCTTGTCAATCCTGGGTTCAGTTCCACAAATGGGTACAATACCTGAAACAGATTTGGGGCTTTTTCCTTCAAAAAAGGCAAGATTTTATGGATGTCAACTTCTTTATTGTGTGGTGTTATTCACAACAAAGAAGTTGATATCCATAAAATCTTGCTTTTCCTATGTATTCCACTTCTAAATGCCCTTCAAAGATTTTTCCTTCAAGATATTTCTTGTGTATTGCTAGACGCTTTATAAAAATACCATATCACTTATTTATTTACCCTCTCTTCAGGTTGGGACCTCTTCGGTTGTGTATCCAGCAGCGATGTTTGCCCCGCAGGTTGCCGGAAGGGGCGTACCAGTGGCTGAGTTCAACATGGAGAGTACCCCAGCAACATCGTCATTTGGGTAGGTGCATGTACTGACTGTCATCTTTAAAGGGCCACTGATCCAGAGCGATTATTGTTTCCAGCCAACAGTCTAATTACGAAACCTAGCTGCAAACTGGTCAGCCTCTGCTCCCTCGACTGACGGACACGGGGACTGGGCTACTGTCCACCCTGGCAGAATTTCTTCAACCTAATCAGTGGGGCATTAGGAAGGGTGGATGCCCATCAGATGCCGTTATTTGACAATATCCCCGGTAGTTCTTGTCTGATTGTAATAAAGTTTCCCAGCAGTGTAGGCATTTTCAGATTTTCAAATGTTTGGATGGTATAGTGACTGATCCAATTTGATCCTTTTTCTGTGTTTTTACCTCAATATTTAATCATGTAAAAATATGATGTCTATTACATATGCTATGATATCAAAAACACACATTGGATATATTTGAATCCATAAACTAAACAACCCCACTTTGCCATTGCAAAATAAATCTGAAATTTTACGTAGGTAGATGGGTATATACAGTTTTTAACTAAGTACACAGCAAATGCTGATATATATTTCTTATGTAACAATGAAGTTCTGTTCGTATGCTCAAAACAGTGTCTGCCCATCAGTTTTTTTTTCAGGCAATCAAACTTGCATGCAATACAGCGATTACTACTCTCTTGCTGTAACCTTGTTTGGTGGTAAACCTACACATGTTATTTGTCATCATTCTCTTGATGGTCGGTTAATGAATTTATAAAAGGTATAATTAGTGATAACACCCCTCAGATTACCCGACAAAGGTTCCCATTTGGCATTTCCTGTGTCTGGAGTAAATACTCATCATTATAAATTGAGGTCTTATGTGGCAAATGTATTACATCTTATGTAATATGCGCATGGAATTGCAGTAAGAGGAATCATCAGCTGAGTTACAAAACAAGCATCGATCAAAAGGATTAACCGATAACACGCTGATTGATTAATTGCTTTTATCCTGCACAGCAGATTTGTCAAAAGCTGTTTATGTATGTAGATTTACTAATCTATACTGAATACACCCTGTCGTAAAGTCTCTTTGTGAAAACAATGTCCTTCCTTCAAAGGTTTAACCGCCAATACATTGATTGATTGCTCATTATTAGCTAACTAAATTACTTTTTTAAAGAATGGCGGACATCATGCAATTAGTTTCCAGGTGTGCTATCTTGGGTGACCAATGGAACTATACACAAATGTGAAAAACCTGAAACGATAGATCACTTTTTCGCATATTAGACTGTTAAAAGGCCAATGGCATGGAACAGGATACTGTCAGCTGCAGATGAATGGCATCTCATTCCTTTATGTGGATATTGATGGATACATTTCCAGAACAAGGTAATAGCCTGACATTGTTGATGTAACTTTAGTTGGTTTTAATCTTAATATTTGCATTTTGTTTTTATTTATTTGTTATGGCATTCAACAGAATCATTTTTTTGCCGTGAAGTGTAATGAGACAGGCAACATACACTAGGTCGCACCCAGGGCGTGTGTGAAATATGATACACGTTGGCAATCTATCATATGTCTAGATATACAATCATGTTATAAATTCATATAAGTATAAGCAGATCGTGTGCATTTTATTAAGTTTCAAAATGCATACAAATATGATAATAAACTAAATAGGATTATAAGACAAAATATAAAGACGTACATTGACTTTGTTATTTCAGTACTAACATTTTTACCTCAGGCGGATGGTTAAACTTAAAATGTTTTCATTTGTTATCAAAATAATGCCAGTTAATACAACATTCAGATTGACTAGAAGTGAATCCAAGCTCACTACTCTCCCCAAGACTCCCCATGTACTTAGTTAGCCTTACTTTCAAAACAATGCTGTTATATCAGGCTTCTCACCAAGTTCAAGGTCAAACTATTTCTTAAATCAAATTCTACGTCCAATTACGTTAACATTTTTATAAAGTCAACATTACTATGAAATCAAAATTTTACATCAAAATCAGCATTTTTATCAAAGTGAATATTTTTTATCAGAAACCAAATTATTCATCAAAGTCTGCATAATTTTACAACAAAATCATCTTTGTTGATCAGTTTATACTTATACTATCAATTGTGCATGAGGGTGGCGCAGCAGAGGTAAAGAACCAGTCATGAATTCTGGGATATCAGCTGGGTACTCACTGGAGAAAAACAATAACAAAAGCAACAACCAGTCCACGGAAATTGCTCTGGATCAGTGGCCCTTTAATCAAAGTATCAAGTCTCCATTCTATTATTGAGGCTGTTGGGTAGCCAGGTGGTTAAAGTTGCCCATCATGCCAAAGGCACATGTTTGATTCCCAAATATGCACTATGTGTCAAGCCTATTTTGGTGTCCCCTACCGTGATATTGCAGGAATATTGCTAAAAGCGGTGTAAAAGCCCAATCGTTCTCTAGCTCGCTCGCTCACTCACTCACTCACTCACTCACTCACTCACTCACTCACTCACTCACTCACTCACTCACTCACTCACTCACTCACTCACTCACTCACTCACTCACTCACTCACTCACTCACTCTATGTATACCATGAGAACTAGATCTAAATGTTCTCTTCTTTTTTTCTCTCCATTTTTTGGGGTGGTTGTGTTGCCTGATGGTAACTGTATTTTCTTGTCATACCTAACACCTGGGTTCTATCCCCACATAGATGCAATGTGGGGAGCCCATTTCTGATGTTTTCAACCTTGATATCAGTGGAATGTTGCAATGAAAAAACAGCATAAAGCACTCACTCACTCTGACCATTTTTTCCCCAGATACCATTTTGAGGGCCCTGCTGGGACTTTCGTACCCCAAGCTTTGGCCAGACATGAGAGTGAGCCAATGTAGATGGAACAGACCCGTGACCTTGAAGATAAGATAATGAACACCTCTGGCAAGACAACCTGCTGATCTTATCAGTCCTTTCTTTCAGAAAACAATTTTTCGCCAGCTTGCAGTAGCTGTTTATTAGCACAATTTAAAAAAACCTCTTCTTCTCCTGTTAGGAATTAGGACCGGCACATATTTGGTAGACATGTCACAGGTAATAATTAGTGTAGTGACCATATTTTAAAACCATCTCAATAACAAAACTGGCATATGCATCATGTACTTGAAAGGTTGCCCATATGTTGTAAAGTATCCATGTGAACAGGGATACCTAAAGCTTGTACTTTAAATTAAAGGTCACTGCAATTTTTAAAACAATTCATTGCCTAGACATTTTAGGGATATTATTATTATTTATTTTATTATTATAGGATATCTATATAGCACACATATCCACGCAAATAGTGCATGCTCAAGGCGCTGGTAATTTTTCCCTTGATCATTGGATGTCAATCTCAACGGCACATCGTATTATCAATCTCAACTCCCTTGGGAGTATACAACTCTTGCAGCCACTAGGCGCACCGAGTTATTGTGGCTTTCTCATCCTAATGAGGTACCCATTCACAGCTGGGTGGACTGGGACACATAGTCACAGTACTTTGTCCAAGTTCACTGTACGTTGCTTTACCCGCAACTAGGTGTTTGCACGTATTCATGTGGCCACCATCTGGTCATCTACCAACGCATTCGTGGGTTCTTTTAAGTGCACAGGATTGTGTGCTGTACACTAGGGGTTGTGACAACACTGAAAGAGTCTGCACGCAAAGATAAGTCCAAGGTTTTTACACCCGGTCAGAGGTGGGCTCGATACCGACACCTCAACCTCGCTGGATCACTAGCCTGGCGCCTTAGCCAGCTCGCCCACCACGCCGGATATATATGATGTATATTTCCCTTTTAGACCGAGGAAATACTTTTGACAGGTTGATGAATATTGTCAGTAGTTATACTCAAGATCATTCATGGCTTCAAAAATAGATTTGTTCAAGAGATTTTTGTAGGTCAGTGAAATTAGGTAAACATGGTCGCACAGGCAAGGCCAAAATTGAGATAATGTCAAGGTCACTGTAAAAGGTCATTTGAAATGGGTACTGTTTTCTACAGTCATGATTGAAGTCTAATCAGTCTATTGATTATGTTTGGAAATGATGCATAACTGATGATAACAATCAATAGTAAGTCACTGTGACCTAATTTCAAAAAGTAACGTGTCTTTATCATCTTTGGTTTATGTGCGAGATTTCCATTAGAATGTTCTTATGATATACAGAGGTGTGATGATACAGAAATTTCACAATGAGATATATATCGCTATATTTTGGAACAATATGATTTGATAAACTTTCTTTTCAGTGTAGGGACGGGACTTTCTCTATTTTATTCAATGTTCATGGAATGGTTAGACTTCGATAAGATGATATACAAATATTCTTCACTATGCTGAAATTATTCCAGTATGCTTGTTGAAATAAGGTGTTAACCACCAAATCTAGTGTGCTATATATTCTCCAGAGCTCCAGATAAGATTTAGCTCATGTGGGTACTGTAACCACTGTATTTTTTTTGAGTGGGTATTATGAATTTTGAGTGGGTATTTCATTTTCCGTTACCCACTGCTTTCAAATATGTGCGTATTTCAGTCATTTTACTCACCTAAGTATTATGTCATTGAGTAAGTTTACTAAGCAGGTATGTTCTGCCTTATGTCATACCTAATCAAAACCAACTTAAATATAATGGAAATGATTTCATAAAAAATCACTCATCCTATACCGACAGTAGAACGCTTGTCCTATACTAACAGTACAACTTGATAGCAATCAATGTCTTTTTCATTACGCAAGCAAATTTTATAAATATATTCCGTACGCATTTGTTTTAAACTTTTTGTGTATCTAACATTTTAAATGCGTAATTTGTATGCAACAATTATTTTTCAATGTGTAATTCTATGCGTATTTTACCCGGATACGCAGCTTATCTGGGCCTCTGTATTCTCTATACTTTGTTTGGTCTTGGGGATTTGGTCTGCTGCTCTGCTGAGAGATACAAAAAAGGAACAAAGGAGAATTCAAGAGTTCCTTTAATATTTTCTAGTTTTCATCACCAGCTTTGAATAGCGCTGTGGGAGTAAATCTGAGAACTGATAAAGGCACACTGCGATGAAGTGGTGTTCCTTTATTTGTTTCCCTCAGTATATTTGAATATGAAGTTACTTGCTTTGGTAAATGACAGTGCTTTTTCATAATATATATGACACGGTTTATGGTATATCCTAATTATTGATATGAAAGTGATATTGTTTGTGTTATGATTTTGGTCCCTGTTTGTCTGTAATGGAGATAGATGTGTTGTTATTGTTTTGTTTGAAATGTGAGTTTGCATAAACTATTATTGTATTTCTAGATTTGTTTTATATAACAAATAATATTATCCAATGAAGATGCAGCAATAAAATTGTACTGCAGTTGAACATCGACACAGAAATAACTGTCCTATGATAGGAAGCTGCTTGCTGCTATGTATAGGTCAAACTTTAATGTAATTTGCTGTTATGTCACACTGTGTATATGCACCCGTGAAGATCCGGGTTAGAATTGATCTTTAGTAACCCATGTGTGTCGTACAGTTGACTAACGGGATCGGTGGTTCACGCATGTTATCGTATGCTCATGATGTTCATCACTGGATTGTCTGGTCCAGACTTGATTATTTACGGACTGTCATCATATAGCAGGAATATTGCTGAGTGCGGCTTAAAACTAAACTCACTCACCCACCCTGGCAACACAATGGACCAATTCAACTCGTAATCTCCAAAGCGATTGTGACATGTATGGTGTAAACTCCATAGGCAATATCCATATCAGAAATGTCACTTCCAAGTTCCAATGAGTGGTTTTATGGCATTATTAATTATCCCAACACGAGCTGAATTCGACATTCTGGTGATTTCGACGATTGCATTGCACGCGCTATAATGGGGGAGTACATGTGCGATCGGAGTGCACAAACAGTTTCACTGGTAGGGCGGGTGCCAAGTCGCTGTCGTGAGAAGTTTTATTGACAATGGAAATCAGGAAGTAAAGTTATATAAAAAGCAAAAAAAAATCAATATTATTTACCCGAGATCGTTATACCACTTACGATGCAAAATCAGTTCCCTTCATAACAAAAAATAGCAAGCGAAAATTCAGTTAGATCAGTCGTCTGCTGGTGACAGGCAATATATAAATAGGAAGCCACGTGATCACAACACTCCCTCGCAGTGTGGAGCAAAAAAGTATTGCTCATCGTCGAATACCCATAAAAAATACCCGGATGTTACGAGTGGCAACAGTTTCGCCGATACGATTTCATCAACGCTATTTTTGTAGGGAACACTTGATATTTTTGTGTGAAATAGATGAATATATCCTTTATCACTCAAGGTTAGTAAAATACAAACTTTATATGATATTACAGATAAAAAATACGTTTTTGTCTTACATCGTCGAAAACCCCTGACACCGGAATATATTATGTTCACATGTTATTTGTTGGTTTCATGCCCAGTTCTTCTAGGGACTAGTTTACTGTTAAATTATAGTTTCAATTTCTGAATCAACAGCTCAAAATTATTTGTCCAACCTTTTGGATTACAATTTTATTGTCTGACATTGTGTGAAATCAACATTCACTATGGTGTTTAGTATAGTGAAATGCAAGCCAGCCTTCTAGGGAACAAGATTCTATGTGGTTGTTGTCGATGACGTAGACGACAATATCCCAGACATATTCCATGGGTGACAAGTCTGGACTGAGTACTGGCTATGTTCTCCTGCTGCACGATTTGTCAGTAACAATTAGAGCCCTGTGTGCACTTGGGGGGTGGTGGGGAGCCTAGTGGTTAAAGCGCTCGCTCGTTACGCTGAAGGCCCCGGGTTCGATTCCCCACATGGGTAATATGTGTGAAGGACATTTCTGGTCTGCCAGCCCAGAACATGTACCGTGAAGTTTGGCTTAGAATTGGTCTTCGGTAACCCATGCTTGCCGTAAGAGACGACTTTGGGGATCGGGTGGTCAGGCTCGCTGAACTGTTTGACACATGTCATGGTACCCATGTTAATCCATGCTCATGACGTCAATCACTGGAATGTCAGGTCAAGACTCGATTATTTATAAACCTGGAGCGGTAAGTTGATAGGTGCAGCGTTAAATAACAAACAAAACAAGCACACTCTTTATATGATTTGCCAACATACACTGAGAGAAACAAATAAAGGAACACAGGAAAATTCAAGTGATTCTTTAATATTTTCCAGTTTTCATCACCAGTTTTGAATAGCGCTGTGGGAGGAAATCTGAGAATAAATAAAGGAACACTGCCATGAAGTGGTGTTGCATTATTTGTTTCCTTCAGTATATTAAGATACAGGAAGAGGCAAGAAAATTTTATTTCAGAAAGGTTCATGTATAAATGAAAACTCCATTAGTGTACAGCAGACAGAGAACAAAGACTGGACGACGATGATCTGTACTGCTGGTTCTTCATTCAGGGAAAGTCTCCGTGACTTGTCCTGGTTCAACACCTTTGGACGTATGTCGTCATCATCGTCGTCAACATCTGTAACAAATAAAGATGATTTTGAGTCATATAATTAAATATTTTGTACGCGTATACAAAGAAACCGCCTTAATATGGGGATTACAACTCCGTTCGAAAAGGGTTTAAAACATACCTGGTACAGATTTATCTCCTTTTGAAACAGTAAACGGTAGCATACAGTCCTTTTGGCTCAAAAGCGGACCGATGAATTACAATCTACCTCGAAAACTGATAAACATATAATACAAAATGGAAACGGCGATCATAATACAAACATCAGACCAACTCTGAGAGTGTTTGAAGAATTTATGTCTTAAGAATAAAAAGGTTGTTCAACCAACTATCATTAAAATATTAACACAGTTCAATATTTGGTACGAGGGAGGAGTGCAAAGAGAGGAACAGCCAGGTGTGCGAGAAAGGATGGAGACAGCACAGGTAAATGTATCAATAGCTTTGTCGTCGCTTGTGCACGTGCATCGCGTACACCTGGCTAGACTGTAATTCATCGGTCCGCTTTTGAGTCAAACG